AAGTCAGGGTTTAGGGTTTAGGGTTTAGGGTTTAGGGTTCAGGGTTCAAGGTTTAGGCTTCAGGGTTTAGGGTTTAGGGTTCAGGGTTTAGGGTTTTAGGGTTCAGGGTTTAGGGTTTAGGGCTTAGGGCTTAAGCCCCAAATCGCTGAGAGGTTTTCGCTGTTGGATGCCAGGACCTTGCCTGTGGCGTGAGCGCCGCTCTGCCGAAAGATTGTGATATGATTATGGTTACTCGGAGGATCTTGGGACGTAGTAAGTAGGGTTATAAGTACCTTAATTGGGGTTATAAGTAATTATAAGTATAGTTACCTTATTTATAACCTCAGTTACTGAGTCCCATGATCCTTTAAGTATGGTTATCATGATGGTGTTGTGTTGTATGATTATGCTTACAATTACAATTATGATGATGATGATGATGATGATGATGATGACGGTGATGATGACGATGATGGTTATTTGATGTTGACTGTTACTATGTTTGGTAGTTTTAGCATTATTAGTATTGTTATGTTTATGTGTATTAGTATTCACATCATGACTACTGTTATTCTGTTCATGATTATGCTCATGTCTACTATTTCTATTAAGATTATTATTATTATTACTGCAGTTACTATTGTTAGTTTTAGTTTCTATCTCTATGATCAGGCACTAGTTATGCTTATTCTTATTACGAGGATTGGGAAATGGTGTTTTAGTGTCTTCGGGTTTCACGGTTTCTTGGTTTTTTGATTTTAGGGCTTAGGGCTTGAGGCTTCGGGCTTTAGTTTAAGACTGCTAATTTCAGACTCAGGGTCGAGGGTTTAGGGGCCACAAGTCTTGTCCCCTATCAGGGCTCTATGGCTTTCGATAGTTCTACCGGGGGTTCTTCAAGGTTTATGTACAGGTTCTACGAAAAAATTTTCCACGGGTCTGCTCCTTCATCTTTCCCAGGCCCAGCAGCTCGAGCCAGTTCCGGGCTCTATGGGAGTTCGATTAGGGTTTAGGGTTTAGGGTTCAGAGTTTACGGTTTAGGGTTTAGGCTTAGGGCTTGGGGTTTAGGGTTCAGGGTTAGGGTTCTACGGCCTAAAACTAGGTTCATACGGACAAGCAGCAAGCAGTGTAGTCCCCTCGAGGCAAGGCGGGAATCTGTTTAATCATCTGAGTTTGTCTGAATGCCCGGCTCCTATTTTGTTGGTCCTTGTTTCACGAACCTAGATTTCGGTTTTGGATTAGGATCCCTATGTCATGGAAATCTCGCCGATCACACCAGCTGGAGTATTTGTAACCCCACCTGTGCCTACGCCTCAAACTTCAAACCCTACACCTTAAACCCTAAACCCTAAACCCCTAAGCCCTAAACCCCACACCCCTAAACCCCTAAACCCTAAACCCTACGCCCTAAACCCTAAACCCTCAACCCCTAAAGTTGAACCCTATAAGGCCGAAGCCCCATCAACCCCTAAACCCGTACGATGGGGCTACCCTGGTACACCCATGAGCCACCACCCTAAACCCTGAACCCTAAACCCTAAACCCTAAACCCTAAACCCTGAACCCTAAACCCTAAACCCCAAACCCTAAACGATAGAAGCGAAGACGACACCAAGAGCCGGCAATCCTGAACTCCCTCGACTTTCAACCTGAATAGTGTAGGGTTTAGGGTTTAGGGGTGTTGCGTTTAGGGGTTTAGGGTTTCGGGTTTAGTGTTTAGAATTTAGGAGTTTACTGTTTAAGGTTTAAGGTGTAGGGTTTAGGGTTTGAGGGCGGTTCTAGAAGGGTTTCATAGGCTTCCGTAAGGGTTACATCCAAAACCCTGCATGAAGCCTCAAGCACGTCATAAGGCTTGCATCATCGATCCTGAGACGAAGCCGGGCCCCCTAGCTCGTGGCTGTTTCTGGGGATGTTGGGGTACGAAAGACCGAAGGAGCCTGAGCCCTAGACACCCCCAAACTTGCAAGCCCAAACCCCAAATCCTAAACCCCAAACCCTGAGCCCTAAACCCTAAGCCCTAAAGCTCTAAAGCCCTAAAGCCCTAACCCGCAAACCCTACTAAGCAATGGCAGATATTTCCTCGAAAGCCGACCTTCGCCCTCCAGACCCGCATTATTCCTTAGCCTGGATGTTCGGGTTCCTAAACCCCGAAACCCTAAACTAAACCCTTACGGCTTTAGTATTAAGCAACAGGGCTTGGCGTTTCGCCTTCTTAAAGGAACCCTCAAAGGAACCCCTGAACCCTCAACCCCCAAACCCTAAACCCTAAAACCCGAAAGCCCTAAACCCTAACCCTAAACCCTAAACCCTAAACCCTAAACCCAAAGGAACCCTGAAGGGAACCCTGAAGGGAATCCTTAAGGGAACCCTTAAGGGAACCCTTAAGGGAACCCTTAAGGGAACCCTTAAAAGGACCCCTAAGGTTCCTCCAGGGGCCCTTAAGGGCTCTTTCGATGGGGTTCCTTCAAGGGCTCCTTTAAGGGAGGATCGTTGGGGGTCCGAAGGCCGGGGCGTTGGCTTAAGGTCTTCGGGGTTTTGCGGGGTTTAGGGTTTAAGGTCTAGGGTTTTAGGTTTAGGGTTTAAGGTTTTAGGGTTTTAGGGTGTAGGGTTTTGGGGTTTAGGGTTTTAGGTTTTAGGGTTTTAGGGTGTAGGGTTCTGGGGTTCAGGGTTTTAAGTTTAGGGTTTTGCGGTTAAGGGTTTAGGCTGCAAGGGGGGGTCCCAAGACTCCCGAACCAGTCATAATAAGGATCGCTTTTAAGTTTCAGGTGCATTCCAGCATTATGGGGGAGTTTGGTCTTTGGGGTCACGGGTTGAATTGTGGCCTTTTTGTTCCCTGTTTAAAGTTTAGGGGTGTGGGGTTTAGGGGCTTCAGTTCGGGCCTTTGGGTTCGGGGCGTAGGGGTCCCGGGCACGTTCAGGGTTGGGGAGTGGGAGTATGGGTGATGCTTCTGGCGGCCACCCTAAACCCTAAACCCTAAACCCTAAACCCTAAACCCTAAACCCTAAACCCCAAACCCAAAACCCTAAACCCAAACCATCGAACTTCAGGCTGCGAGGTCGAGCCCCGGTTTAGGCTTCGTCTACGACTCTAAGCCACAAAGCTAAAAAGCAGTGACCTTAAACCCCGCATCAAACGCCCCAAAGCCCAAATCCCAAGATGCCCAAGTCCTCGAAAGCCCAGGGCCTACAGGTTTTCGGTTTTGGGTTTAGGGTTCAGGGTTTAGGGCTTGGGAACATACAAGGCCCAATACTCTGTAGCCCGGGAATAGATCTTACAGCATGCAAAGCATCCCACACCCCAACCCAAAAGCCACCCAACACTGGAAGCCTAAACCCTAAACCTGAACCCTGAACCGAAAAACCTTGACCCTGCACCCCAAATTTCGGGAGATCTCCTTGGTTAAGGAGTGTTGGGACCTCTCGGGTCTAATGTTTAGCGCTGAGGGTTTAGGATTGGGTTCAAGGTTAAGGGTGGGGCCTAATGTAGGCGCCTAAATAACTACCTATACTATTTTTTTTTGGCGGGGGTTCCTTATTATACTTACAGCATTATCGACCACCCAAAACCCTATTCTAATTATTAAGGCCCCCATATTAACCCGACAACAGCAAGCAAACCCAAACCACTCACCGCTTCATCTCGCGAGAGCATGCTCCCCTACACCAAAAGCCGCGGCGGCCTCACTCGACGTGAGGGGGCCCCTAAACATCTCCTCCAGAAAATTTGGGTTTAGGGTTCAGGGTTT